TCCCTCATAAAAAATGAACGGTCCCTTAGCTTCCCGTGGAGGTTCGAAAAATTGCGATTCCACTGCACTGTAAACCCGGCTTATCCAGCTCGGTTTAACTATCTTGAAAAAGTCTAATTTGAAAATTAATCGCATTATTTTAATCTTTACCTCCTCTCGAGGAACGGCCTGCATTCCACATTCTTGAGGGCAAGGGAAAGGAAAACGCTGACATTCAATTCTTTCATGAATCTGGTGATTTCAGTAAACAGTACGTTAGGTACTGCGATGTAAAATAACCAGTTAAGATCACATGTAAGTTATATTAGTGACAAAAAAGTAATGGAAACAAATATAACGTAGGTTAAGCGATTTATGAGATAAATGACGTAAGTACTAGTAACCCCGACTGTCGGGGAGAAGCCATGAAACACACAAATGTCTTGAAGGAAAAATGTCCCTTGGATTAACCGCGTTCTATCAACTCACATCAAAAAGTTGCCACGCATTCAGGCTGGTTGACCCGATGGTGTAGTGGATATCACTCCCGACTAGTATGCAGGGAGACGCGGATTCGAGTCCTACTCGGGACACGAATTCTTTTTTCATTTCAGAGACGTATGTTGAAAGCGCCTGTAATTTATTTACTTATTCCTATCATTAGAAGTAGTGCAGAAAACAAACAAGTTTATCACATCAGTCCTCTTGACAGCGCAAAATTCCAATAACAAGCGCCCCGAAAATAAGCTTTCCTCCAGAAAGATAAACCACAACCCCCCCCCCCCCGCCACCCCATCATTCTCAGCCGCAAACGTCCTCAGTTCTGATTGGCAGCAGCCCTCCCGCGCCGCAGTTTAGCCCACGGGCTGGTATTAAGAATAAGCTCTCAAAGAAAGATCGAACTTCTTCCGACATTATAGAGAATGGTAGAGAATGGACGAATGCAGCTGATCGCATATTATATCATGTTCATTATACCCACTGTACCGCTATCGTTATTATTATCACTATTGCTGTATCATTATCATCATAATAATCATCATAATCTACTCCGGCATGTGTTTTGGGTTAAACTTCTACAACTAGGTCAGTTAGAAAATGACCAACTGTTTACAACTTGTTATTCAAAGGTTGAACATTCATACCTCTGTCCGCCAGAATTCTAACTCTCCTTCACAGTATCCACATTGTACGATCCTGCTGGGACATTCTGATGTTTTGTGTGTGTCAAAGATCCCTCACTGCACCATTCCGTAACAGTCATTACAAGTTACATCTTCATATTGGCAAACTGTAGAGTGTTCCTGCGAAAGAATTAAGGGAAGGATGACTTCCGGCATTTACGGATTGCCGGTCATTAGCATTATTTGTCTCTATATGAACCTGAGCCTCGAAATAATTTTCGGTTAGAGGTAAACGTCCCCTTCTGACAGTGTCTGTCATTTTCGGAGAACTAAAACGTCCGCTGCCTTTACCTGGTAATGACGTATCTCGCCAGTCCACTCGCATCCTCTTCCACTCTTCCCACATTTGACGCGAAGAGAAAGTATCCCTCTCTCCCAGGCCACATCGCGAAACCACTGTATAACAGGAAGAAAGAATGACAATGTTAGTTGCTAGATGATCCCTTTCTATAAAACGCGTTGATGGTGTCCATAAACTGTAACCTACGTCACTTTTGTTACCTAAGGAATCTCATACACTGCCAAGTCTTAACGCTGGGATTTAACAAGTGTGCTCTTTAAAATACAGTTTTTGATACGAACAGTGGACATGTGAATGACAAAATCAAAAGACATAATGTAAGAGAACTTTATTAATGGTAATGCACAACTCATAAAGAAACCCTGCACGATTCTTTTCCTCGAATGGACCTCTGACTATTGCACAATGTGAACTAACAACTCCACGGTTTTAAAATCGAAGCTTGGGGGCGCTGTATATTTTTTCTCTGAGAAATTTCTTACAGAAATTATAGAAATTCTTTAAAGTTCTGCAATATACTGAGTGACAAAGAATCAGGAGGATTAAAGCAAAATTGACTTTATTCAGAACCGAACAGACCGTTCCATTGTGAAGGGAGGCAGAGTAGAGAGAGCCTGGGAACGAGGTTGAGAAAGCTTTGACAGATTTTTTGAGGCGTCATCTTCAAACCTCTTGAGAGTAGTTTATTTTTATAGAAAGGCCAAGCGATTCAGAAAATTATCTCGGCTTTGTCCTTGACGAAATATAAAATCGCTATATGTTTTAAGACCTTTATGGAGTTTGCCCAAGTTCGGAAAATTCGTAAAGACTGAGACCAAAATAATTTTAGAATCCCCAGAATCTATCAAGACTTTCCGCTGTAATTCTGTAAGACTTTCTGAATATCGCACCATCAATATATTGAAAATTCGAATGTTAAAAATGTCGACCTTCCACAACAGCGATTTCCGTACGGAAAGGGAGGGGAGGGAACTATGTTTTTCGTCTTCCCCAGGTCTTCCCCATCGTGAATAGGCTCGATTACCAGCCGCTGTTCTGGAAAAGAGCCCGCGCTCCTCTCCCGAACTCACTTCTCGGGGAGAACGTAGACCGGACTCGCGAAAGCGGCGGAAATCGAGCCTACATCATGAACTTAACAGTTGTTGAGGTCAACGAGCCTGGGAGCCGGCCTCGTCCAGAGAAGGTCGAGGTCAGGGGAAAATGTGAGGGCATGCAGAGCGATGTCGGGCACATCAAACGGTAAGTTGGGAACCTTTCCTTTACTAACTATGCTTTTAACATGCACACTTGACACTTGACACTGTTCTTGGAAACACAGAGGAGAAAACTTCTTTTTCACAACAACAACAACATCACGGTATATCATTTAAACGTCAAACGTATCTGTTCTGTGCAATCAGCCGAGGGTAAGCCATAAAATGCAACTGAAAACATAATTCTCTTTAAGTCTAATTGCTTATGCTGGTATTGCTGATACAGAAAACTAATGGTATATAAAGTACTTGGCATGTTTTTATCTGTGTATGAGAGTTATCTTTGGCTATAAAATAATGCATAAAACCTATACATCGACAGTCAGCCTGCAAAACCAATTAAGCTTCCTAACTTATGTAAAAGCAAGTATCATTTTGATAACTTATGGTTTCTTAAATAAGAACATTTTAGGAGGGTCTCAATGGGGTGGTGGCTTTTGGGGTGGTTAATGGCTATAATTTATTAAAATCTGGATCATTGGATAATGCAATTCAAGAGTTTTTATTGGCGTGGCCATCATGGGTATATGCCATTATAATCCATCAAACAGTTTCGCTCGTAAGCAATTGGTCTAAACGCATCATGTGACCAAATATTCCCCAGCTGAATATTCCCCAGTTTTCAAAACTTGGTGTGTTGCAATAAATATTTGAAGGATAATAAACACAATAGCCTCCAATGCTCGGATATTTGTCCTTGGACATTATTTGTTCCTCAAAGCTCACAGTTTTCCCCGAACTACGCTCTTGGGAAACTGTTCGCTTCTCAGAACAGATAATGTCCATGGACAAATATCCAAGTATATTTTCACGCCAAATGGAGGCTATTGTTTATATATCGATGCTCTACAAATATGGTAAACGTACACATGATTTTTGGGGGGCATTTTAATTTTAACTTTAGTTTAGTTTTCTATATTTTGGGGGTGTTTTAAATAAAACAATTATTCCACTCACACTTGTTGCACTTGTTGCATATGTGCCTCATTGGTTATCTATCATCTCATATCCAATGTGTGCTCGAGGAATAATTGCCACTGCACCTTTCAATAACATGCAAACTCTAAAATTCAAAGCTCAACTAACAAATGCGTTTTTCACAACGTCAAATGTTTGGTACCTCCTCCCAGCTTCCGACTTCTGCTGAGCATGCGGTAATCAAATCGTTGAGCACAGTTCAGACAACGAAAGAGTGCTGGACAGTAGTCAGAAGCTGGGAGGAGCCGCCGAACATTTGAATGATGATAGTGAAAAACGCATTTGTCGGTTGAGCTTTGAATTTTAGAGTCTTCATGTTATTGAAAGGCAAAGGAAATATATTTTTTTTTATGGTTAACAGTTACTGGTAAATTATTTTTCTTATGGTTAAGAGAAATCCCAGAAAATAACAATTATTGATATTTGGCCCATTTTAGGGCTAATGCTTAACCTTACTGAGATGGCCTTGTATACAGGAAATGTGCTCAGAATCTTGGGTGTCTTTAAATCCGGAACTTACTCAGTACACTCCCTGACCACCAGAAATATACAGATACTTGTACCTTAAAGAATATTACAGTAGTTAAAATTATAAGAATTATTCAAAAAAAAAAACAAAACAAAACAATAAAAGGTAATCAAATTGATTATCTATTTTGAGATGGAGCATGGCCAGTTTTCAGAATTGTGTCCTAACCCACTTTTCTAATTAGCACTCCCCATTGAGTGCCATAATTTTAATAAGCACCCCCATTCCAAAGAACACCCCCTTCCAGTAAGCATCCTTGTAGAGAAGGTAAATTGAAGGAAATGGTGCAGAATAGACTGATTAGACCGATGCGTAGTGAAGTTTGCATTCTTATCTGAGCATGATATTGAGTAGTAGTAGAATTCTACTTGTAACCTATACTCATGTTCCTGAATTATTTTGCATAAATGGTGTAGACAGGCCTAAATGACTCCTACAGTTCATGACATTTGTGCATTTGCCATTAATTCTGTTTTGATTTTCAGTCTCTCAACCTTTCTTTGCTTTGCATGTGTTTTTGAAGGGCACTTAACTTTATGATGTGTTATAATAGGAGGAATTTTAAGTAGAGTATAGCCATTTGACTGTGCTATAGTAAATTCTTTTAGAGGTCAGCTGTGAATGGTTGCCGCTGTTATCTGCATGTCACTTTGCAGAGTTTGACACCTGTAATTTGCCATGTGCTTTGCAAGATATGTTTTAAGCTCTCAAAGTATTGGCTCTGGAAAGACAAAGTTTGAAATATTCCATGAACTTGTTGCTTACTTGCATTCTACAGTATAATTATTGTGATGCCAGGCCTGGCTGTTTGATTAGACCTGTTTGCAAGTACAGTACAACGTTGCTTCTTATCACAGCTATCATATTTATCTTTGTTGGGCTTCATCAGAGATTGCTGTAGCTTTACTTCGAGAAAGCTATTTATACGTTTGTGTATTAGAGACGTTCAGATTATGTTTCTTGCATAAGTTTGATTGAGCTTTTGTCTCAAGATTGATGTTTAGGTATATACCTCCTTTGTTTGCTCTTGCACCGTGTGAATCAAATGTAGCTGCTTACATACAAGTCTGTTGACTGTTTTGCATTGTTGTATAATTGCCATTGTTTGGTATTGTTCAGGCAAGACCATGGTTCCGATCCTCCATGTGAATCCCCTCAATTGTTGGTATTTAGTTTTCTGTACACCTGTAGTTGCTAATGCAACTCTTACATATGTGTTGGACTTTCTGTGGCTTGACACAAACTTCTCGTGGTATGTACCTTTGAGGGGCATCAAAAATGCCTGGTTTCTGGTACCCATGCAGTATTTGGAGAAAATAATTAATAACCAATTAAAAGATGAGAAATGTCTTCCTTCAGATTAGTATAACAACCAATCAGAGTACTTTCCAAACATTCCAGGAAAATCACCCAGAGTTGCAGAGCACAATTAGTGATGCCACTATCCCCAATGTTTTTGAGGGGAGGAGGCTTATGTACACATGTTAGTGCCTGGTCTCTGATAAGTGCCCCCTTTCCAATCCAAAAAGTGCCTACCCTTGAGTTTCCAAAAGTGAATTAAAGCTTCAGTGTGTCTGGTAACTGAGGGCATACTGATGGACTGCTCAGAAATATCAAATATAGCCAAAGGCTTCTCAACATCAGCTACAATTAACTCTTCCAAAAATGACCCAACGACTTTCCTAAATCTTTGAATATTTTGAAAATTCCTGTCGAATGACTTATTTAATATTTAGCTTTGAATTGATGAAGTCATTCATCAGGAAGCTTTCAAAATATTCAAAAGTTTTTGAAAATCATCAGGCAGTATGTGCCATGGCCGGATCTGTTTAACTTCAAATATCGATAGTCATAAACTGTGTTCATTAATATGCATGGTCTATAATTTTCAGTAAAGAGGTTAATGCACTGTTGGCAGACATTTGAGAAATGGAACCCCTCAGATTCAGACTCTTTAATTTCAGCTTTTTATTACAATCTGAACTAACAACTTCAGTCTGCAAAACAGCGCCCCTATAGTGACTCACGACTATAGTGTTTCTCATGTTACATTGTGGAAGCTAGCTGCAAAACTATCAGTCAAATATATCACACCATTTCTGTTTCCATTAAGTTAAAGTTAAGACAAATTAAGATTTGCACAGAAATTTAGCAACAGACAGGTGTTCTCTTAGTAAATACAGTCAGAGCGTTTTCCTTTCACCAACCCAGGTACAGGTAATTACAATAATTATTATTAGAAAGTGCTTTTGTTTGGGAAAATCAATTAGCATCATTCACAAGTCCAGTGGGCTAAAATAAACCAACAAGATCACTACAAAACTCAAGACAAATTTCTGTAAATAATATAAGTTATACTACTATTTAGAACAAAGATAATTAAACATCGCATGTACAAAAATGGTGATATCCACAATCCTGAATCTGAACTGCTTTGTTGCCACTTTGGCAATGACAAGCTACGTCACCACAAACATTTTATAAGGAAATTAGCAAGTAAGAAGCCACCTTATTATGACTGGAAATAGGATCATCAAAATATCTCCAAAAAATCCTAATACTTAGCACTCAGTTCACTTTAGCAGATCATTGTACATAATTTGCACATTGTGACACAATATTTGAAGTCACTGTTTCTGCACATCGCAATGACAAGGTGGTAGCAGTGATCTTTGTGAAGATACACGCATGTCTATAAATTAAACGTGTTGTATGGTCTGTAATATAATTTAATTTCATTGAGCTTGAATGCAATGTATATTAATTACTGCGTAACTTCATCAAGCTGTTAATAACCTGCAGTGTTCAGCATTTGCATCATCAGCAGATTGTTTACATTTTAGAAAATGATTCATACTGACCATAAGAAACAACAAGAATTTGTTTCATGCTTGATTGGTCGGCAAAGAAAATCAACTCATAATGATGCATCTACTTATAATACTTCTTTGGCATGCACATTGCAAACTTAACATACGGAGTATTGCAGTATCACCTAACTTTTGTTGAGTATAAATGACAGAGAGCAAGAGAGCCACAGCAGTGGCATCCAAAACTGCATGAAGGCAGCTGCAAAACTGCATGATGAAAATTTTATTCCATCTACAGTAATTTACAAAATTTGAGTTATCAAGGATTTCCCTGCTTGTCACTAGTGACAGGCATGTTCATTGTCAACTGTCACTACAGAAAATTACCTGAAATTGACAGTTAGATTGCTCTGCTGATTTTGCCAATAACTGTATACAGATCTACAGTGTACGATTACATGTACACTTATCTTGAATTAGTTAGTATGAATGCTGAAATGTTCTTGATTACAGTGTACTAGTGTCAGAAAAATCTACTGTCAACATGAAAAAGAGTTATAAACTAGTATATGTCTACCATGTTAACAAAAAAGCTCACTCCCATTGGTATTTTGAATATTTGTTACATTTATTCATAAATGTGTTTCGCTAAATTAGTAAATTAATAATTGTGTCTAAAAATTGTCCACTAACCCTAAGGTTAGTGGATTTTGCAGTTTGACTTGGTGGATAAATTATATCCTTTGCTGCTAATGCCTGGGTAGTGAGGTTTTGGGGGAACATATTTTGGGGAAATTACAGAGGTACTGTGAGAAATGAAATGAGTGTATTTATTCAATTTTAAGTTAAATGCTAGTGAGAATTTCTTTGGGGGTGGGGAGAGGGGAGGGGAGTGCAAGTGAGAATGAATTTTGCACTAGTACATCATTATGTATTTATACATGTGGCCATATTAATCAAAGATTGATTTTCTTTGCACCCTGGCCAAGCTAAAGTAAGGACCAAGAACCAAGACTCAAAAATGCACTTTCGTGTAAACTTTTGGGGACACCTTTCCAACTTATTTAAAACATCTCTCTAGTAACAATTTACAATTTTGAAACGCAATGTTATCTTAATTATATAGTTTTTGCCTCTTTAAATTAGGTTTTTAATTTACTATATATTTAGCTATAGAGGGCCACACATTCATTAAAATAAAGTTTGACTGATTGATTGATTGATCGATCGATCGATTGATTGAATGTCAGGCATATAAATTTTCTAGTGTATTTATTGCTTACTGTTGTATTTTTTTCGATAATTTATTGTAATTGTACATTGAATATTTTTGATATATTTAACTTATTTTGTTTATACTTTCATCTGTCAAATTAGTTCTTATATAGCGATAATTATGTGGTTAATCAATCCTTTTCTTTCCTCTATTCATAAAATTTATAAGCAGTGGCCTACTCAAAAGCTTTGCTACTAATACAGCTGACACTGCACTCGTTTAGACTTACATGTAGCTATATTTTCAGGTAGGTAAAGTCTGCATACATGCCAAGTGGCCCATCATGCCCAAGCTTATCCAAGTTTCCGTAGCATGAAGCAACTAGGAGTGTTTCTACTCCCCCCTGGATGGGATGCTAGTCCAAAACAGGGTTACCTCCAACATTAAATTTGCCGGTACCCATTTATTCAGGCACTGTGAGAGTAAAGTGTGTTGCCCATGAACACAACATATTATATCACTGGCCAGGGCTCTAACCCGGAGCCACTTGATCCAGAGACGAGCGCACTAACCATGAGGCGACTGCACCTCCACAATGTATATTTCCAGTTATATTTCATGTATTTTAGTTACTGTGTTGTAATTCTTACATGTTTAACATAGACTTTTATGTCTAATTTCCTGTACTCAAAGTCTAAACAAAATCTTAAGTTTTGTCCGAGAAAGGAACAGTGAAAGAGCCAATTATAATAACTTAATACTGGTGTAAATGTTATGTTTATTTTTAAAAATTAATCCTGAGTTGTGATTTGCATTTCGAGCTCGAGAAGGGATCTGGCATCAGGCTGGGGGTAAACATGAAATTGGTAAATGTTCTCATGTACTTCCTCATCATAATTCTTATTTATTAAATTATCTCAGGCCACCTGTGGAAGTCTTTGAAGTTATTGAAAGTAATCTTCAGATTGAAGCAATTTGTAAGTAGTCTCTGACAGATGCTGCAAAATTCTAAATTATTTTGCCATGCTTCATTTCAGCATATGTACATAATATTTTTGAAAGTTCTCTTTTCACTTTTTTTATTTTATTTTATTTATGTTTGTTATTTCAATATATACATTGTGTTTGTTTGTATATTTTTGGTGTTCCAGGCATGTTCCAAGCTTCAAAGAAAACCTATAAATGCCTGTTTTTTGTGAAAAGTCCATGTTCGCGTCGCATGTAAATTTATCACAGGACTTTCTTCGCATTCAAACTATATTGTTCGCAAATAAACAATAATTCTCCCACTACAACAGCAAGCAAATATTGATTGAAAGCATTAGTTTTTTACCTTTAAACAAACCCTAATGTACTCTGAAAAATATACTTTTGGCACTAAACAGCAGCTGGGAGTAATAAGAGGATAGGCGTTTGTTTTTGTTACGACATGAAAATATTGCATCTGTATAACAATTGAAACTCTCAAGTCAAGCTGTAGCAATGAGTGCCTTAACAATGACTTAGCTAGATTCAAACCAAATTGCCTTCAACTTGGAAGTGGCAAAAAAATACTTGTCTTCTGATTAGATGTAACCTTATATAATTCTGTTTGTCATAGCTTTCACAACTGATGGTTAACTTACCCCTCCTTCAGGAATAGGCTGCCGATCATGTGGACACTGTGGTTCGATGTGATCACTAGAAGCAAATTCAGATACGTTAATTAGACTATTGATTTAGCGTAGATGCATGCTTGAGGAAGTGGAACTCATGCGTTTATTTCAGTTATGTTCTCAGTATTCAAGACACGTGACAATCCCAAATGCACACCTGAATGACTTCAACAAGCAACTTTCACAAAAGCGATGACCACATATTGTCTGTACAGGATTCCTCATGGCGAGCAGACAGATGGGGCATTTTTGTTCTTGCGATAATTCATCTTCAAAGATAAAGTCGAAGCCGCCAATTGTGGAAGAGTGGCTCTCCCCGAAGGCCGCAATTTCTCCCTCCATGCTCAAAGCGACAATGAACTGTAGAAACTGTTGGCGTGAAGTTGAAAGTGAAAGTACTTAAACTGCCGTAAAAAAATTCGGAAATTAATATTAAAAGAACCGAGTGATTGGTCCAAAATTTAGCAGGCTCGTCGCGTGATTGGATGCTGTCTACATTTTGTAGTTACGCAAACAAACCTTTACCTCGTGGCGAGACTGGCAAAATAAAGAATGGCATAAAATTAGCCATGAATCTTGAACAAAAATGCTGAGGTCAGCATTTTTCTAAGAAAGAAGGAGATGATATTTCTTCATTTATTTTCTTAGAATTCGGCTACATATACAGGAAAGCAAATACATTCATAAATACCTTTAAAATACATGGTAAATGGTAACATGGAAACCACTTTTGGTATGTTTTTAATAACAAAATCGTCGCGTTATGCATCCGTTGATGAAGTTTACAGAAAGTGCTTATGTTTCGTTTTTGACTAAAAGGTTTCGGGAAAAACCCCTTCAACGACTGATGACGGGGTTTTTCCCGAAACGCCTCTGTCAAAAACGAAACAAGTAAGCTTTTTTTGTCAACGAATGCAATTCAATTCAAAGTGCTACATAGCAACAATTTTGTTACGCTCGTAATGCGAGTCGCAACGTCGAGCGCGCACGAAGGGAGAAATAGAAACAAGTAGGGCTTTGCACCGGCTGCGTTAAGTTCACCTGCAGTTTTCTACCCAAGCAGTNGGGGGGGGGGGGCGCCTCCCTCCCTTATTTTGGGTTAAAAAGAAATCGCAGAAGGAAGAAAAGCCGGTAGGGTAAGCAAAAACACTCTTCCCCACCCCCCTCTTAGCTCAAGGTCTGGATCCGCCACTGGTGACTTTCTCTTTTCTTTTCATAGATCACTTCCTTTCCTGATTTCCTCCATTTTAACAAAAAAAGAACAGAAAAAATCTGTATCGTTCGTGACTATCGCAGCTTTGGTAAGTCTTTTAACTTCACAAATAAACCCAATTCGCATACTTCTGAAGTGGAAATAAATACCAGGCCAAAATTATGCCTTTTTGGCGGCTACGTTGCGAAAGCGAAGCTATTTTGTCAAAGAACTGTTTCGTCCCGGTTACCCGGGCTGGAAAAATTTTTCTCTCGGTTGTACAAACCGAGATCCCGCTGACCGAGAGGCCCGCCTTCTCATATCAACACATGGAAATTTTTTACAAAGGAAATAAGAGAGAGGCGAGTTCTCGGTAACCAGACCAGCCCGGTCAACCGGTCTCATATGAACGGGCTCGTAGACCGGTTAACCGGGCTGGTTCGGTTTCCGAGATCTCGCCTCGCCACTCTTTTCTCCGGAAAAAATTCGATTTGTTTATATGAGAAGCCGGGCAGCGGGGGCCTGTTTCTCCAAAGCCCCGGAAACTTTTCGGACCCGAAAAGCCGTTTTTAGCTAATCGGTATTTAAAGACAGACAGGTGTATAAGCCTGAAATTTCTTGTACGGAATGGAACCTCTGTTTATATTAAGAATGTAATCATAAGGTTTGAGATTTTGCTACGGCTTTCCGGGTGCGAAAACTTCGGGACCTTTGACAAACGGGTCCTTGGCCCGGTTACCGAGATCTCGGTTTTTGCCACCGAGGTCTTAGTAACCGGGATGAATATTTTCCCATATGAACACTCCAGCCGGGGTAACCGGGACGAAACGTTTTAGACAAAATAGCTTAACTTTCGAATCATGACGGCCAAAATAACGCATAATATTTGCCTTGTATGTACTTCCACTTTAGAAGTATACGAATTTGCTTTGTAAGTAAAGTAACAAATGTTAACAAAGCTACCACAGTCGCGATCGATACAACTTTATGTGGCCCCATTGTAGCTTTGTGTCTTGAATTTCATCCCGGTCCACCGGGCTGATATTTTCCATATGAACAGACAACAAAATTCGCCCCAGTTACCAAGCCAGCCCTGTTACCGGGCTCAAATGAAGAGGCCATAAAATTATGTGTTCTTTTTCAAGGCCTGTTTCACCTCAAGCAACAACGTTTACTTAATATACTTAGTTGTGTTGGATTGAATACGTTTATCTGATCTAAATTTCACGAATGTAACTTCTTTTATTGCTGATTGTTATAAACTTCAAGCCGGACCCTTTTAAAATAACGAGAGCTTCTAAAACGCATGGTCTTGAATGCACCTTATCTTGAAAACGAGCATGGTGACCTCCCACTGTTTTTGTCCTTTTGGCAAAAGTTGATCTGTACTTTGTAAGGTAATGGTCTGACACTGACTGTTTTTTGATATCGATCTTTCGTTCAGACCATTATCTTACAATGTTAGCTCCTGGCTGCCACTACTCAATGATCTCTACTTTACTGCATCGCAAGTTTAAAAAAAAATTCTGTACGTGGGAACATTTTGGGCGCGAACGTCCTTTAAAATAAAAGAATGCAAACTCAAGGAATAATTTGAGAGAATTGTTCAATGGTGTAAGAGCATCACCAATTGATCTTGGGGCTATGTCTAAAATGCCAAATACCAAAAAGCGCATTTTTGTGATTTCTACTCCTTTAAATTCTGTAGGTAGGGTTCAGAGCCACCTTAACTTTCGAAAATTTAAGGTGACTCTAAACCCTACCCACAGAGTTTTTAAACTTTGCCAAAAGTTTCGTCTTATTATGTTAATCAAAAGTTGGTAATATAAAAAAATTTCACCGTGCCGCTTTTGTATTATAAGCGCCTAAAGCTGTAATTAAACGTGTTTTTAGGAGGTCATACTGTGGCTATGAAAATGATAAAAACGTGTTCACCAGTGATTGGGCGGTTTTTTGATACCGTGATTGTAGCATCAAGTGATAAAGAGTGGTTATAACGAACCATCAAAATCTAATTGCTGGAAACTGCTTTGAACCACCTTAATACTATTCAAAGCATTTAATTTCTATGGGGCGATAATCTGCCCCCGCTCTAGCGGAATAACCATCGGCCAAGTAACGCAGTGGAAAACAGTCATATCCTGGTTGGCGAGGTACTCTAAAATATTACATTTTCCTCAGAAGACCAAATTTTTGAATTAATTATTTTTGTAAACCTCTTTTTAACCATGGACAGAAGAATGTTCTGAATCGAAGAAAAGCGAAAGACTACAATTTAGATCACGAGGTTAAAATTCAGTTGAATCGGCAAAAACTGACTATTCAAGTAAGGTAGAATAAGGTGAATGGTGAGTGGAGTCCAATTCGGTCTGTAATCACGAATATGATTACAGCCAATTTAACGATTGTAATCAACGTTGTGACTGGCGGATTTAGTTGAGAGGACTTAAAATGATTGGCTCATGCAACTGTCCGATTTGCAGGTGTCCGACTACACTGTCCGATCACAACTTTGCAGATTAATTTGTGCAAAATACAGCCGTTTATGCGATGATATGACAGTTCGAAGTGTTGGATCTTTTCTCTCCCCACCACCCCCGGTGGGGTAAACGTACTCC